ACAGCCACGCGGGCTGGGAAGTGTCACTGCTTTTATCTTCTCAGAGGTGGCAGCAAGGCTCGGAGCCCGTGTCCTGCGGGCGGCAGACAGCACCATGGCCGTTCCTTCCTGACACCTGCCACAACCACGGGGATGATTTAAAAAGGGATCAAGTAGGTAAAGCTCTTGCAGAAACGTCTGCCACAGAGCAGACAGTAACGAGAGAACAGTCCCTGCCCCTTTTCCAAACCCAGCTCCCAGGACGGGAGCAGAGTCTCAGCTCCAACAGAGTAGACGATTCTGTCTCCCGACGGCGTCTTTTTCATTCCCACCCGAGGCTGCCTGCCAGTGCTTTCTCTGTCCTAAAAAGTCCCCCAGTGACAGTGGGCCACTTCCACTCTATTTCGTTCTGGCCACATGCTCTGTGTCTTGTTAAATACAACATGACCTCCAAGACCCTACACTCGACGTCCCTTTGCATTCCCAACGCGTTCCCTGACACCTGTACAATTTTACCTTTTTCCCCCTCACTGTGTACAAAGTGCTTTCAGATCTGTCATCTCATTTCTCCTGCAAAAGCTCAGAGACAGGACGGTAAAAAGTTCCTTTCACAGAAGAGCAAACTGAAGTCTCCGGTATTTGCCGATTAGCCCACGACCAGCACAGGGAAGGACGAGATTCCAAACACCGGCCTCTGGCTCGTGTAGGTCCATTTATAAACTACTACCTCATTAGCCATTTCTTGTGTTTCTTCTTCCCAAATATTCAAAGACGAATACAGGTGTTAAAAGTGTGGCTTTGGGGTCCTGCCAACCTGTCTTCACTGGACCAAGTGCTGGCTCGTTCACTAAGCCGCGGACTGGCTCTGGGCAGTTTGCCGACTCTCTCCAGAACCCAACTTGCTCATCAGTAACGCGGGATGGATAACAGCGGCTTCCTCACGGGCCGCATCAAAGAGCACATGAAACAGTGCACAGAAAGAGGTGATCGGACCAGGTCCCTGCAAATGCTGTGGTCCTGTTGGTGTCACTGCTGCTACCACAGCCCGGGACGACTGCCGGCACCGCCCTGCTAGCGCAGAGCGTTTACGAACTTCCTCCCGCGTCCGTGCGCTAGGCACAGTGCGCAGACGCTTGCTGTGTTTCCTGAGTGACGCCGCATTCAGGTAACTGGAAGCCCAAAAGCAGGAGGCCCAGAGGCCAGACGAACGCTCTAGGAGAGAGCTTCGCGGTGAGCGGCGGAAACAGAACGTCTTGGCCTCGTCCCTTCCCCCCTGAACCCCGCCACCCACCTAGTTTACGCCACGTCGGCGACACCGACTCTCCCCCGCGCATGGTGGCAGTTCAGGCGTACCTGCTCCGTGAGGAAGGACGGCTTGTATGCGCCATCCGTGGACTTGTTTCCGGTGCCTCGCATGGACTTCATGTGCGACACGGCCATGCGCAGGATGGTGAGCTTGTCCGGCTTGCGGGCCAGCGCGCTGCAGGTGGGGACCATGTCGGAGAGCTCCGTGATGTACTGCGTCATCTTGTTCCGCCGGCGCCTCTCGATCTCACTGTGATTCTCTCTTCCCACAAAGCACGGGGGCAGGAGGCGCAAAGAGAGAAGCATCACGTTAGCGGTTACTGACTAACGGGGCGAAACGGCTCATTGGCAACACCAGGTGACTCAGAACTGGTTAACGTGTCAGAGCTGAGTGCCCTGAAGACGCGTTGGGCAAAGCAGCTCTTTGACGCCTCGGCAAGCTCCGGTCTCTGTGTGTGGGGAGCGCAGACTCCTGCAGTCTCGATCCCTAAGTATATATCGACGTTTTCTCATTACTCCATGCACCCAAGGACTTTTTAATAAGTGCAGGAAACTAAGACATGATGTTTCCCAACATGCTATATGCACACATGAATCTGTACACAGATGTGCACACGTGCATGCGCACACACACGGAATGTGGTTACTGGCGGCTTGGATATGTGGTTACCCCGGCCCTACGGGAGGGAGCAACACATAACCCTGCCATTCTTTGTGTCACTAAGCAGACCAGTAATGCCACGGATTTACTTTACGTACAGTGGCGAACAAGCCTTTGTTCTGCGCCAACCCACTGTCTGCAGCATAGTCACAGAGCAGGGGATCCCTGGCTGGATAAACAACAAATAGCCAATTTTCCAAAAAGCACCGTGAGGAATTACCGAGCTGGATCTCTGATGTGTTAAGTGAAAACCTGGTGGGGGGCATGGCAGGATGTTTCCCCCTTGGGCTGTCACCTTTAGGCTTGAAAGAGAGTCTCAGCCAACGCAGTGCAACAGCCCGGAGACGAAGCTGTGACTCGGGACTCAAGAACTGTCCAAAAATACGTCCAGGTCTGCTGCAGGACTCGGTGCACCGGTGCTCGAAGAGCGAGAGAGACGCCACCAGCAGGAAAAGAACAACCTCGGGCCAGGATGCCTCCGAACACCGCGTATTAATTAGCTTTACACCCCACCCCCGTCTGGGGAGCAGACGTGCCAGGCGGGCCTGATGACATGCAAGGGGCACCCGCCAAGGGCCGCTGTGACACGCGGACCAAGGGGAGGTCTCTGCAGCGAGCAGCGTGAGCCGTCCAGCCTGCACCTTCCAGATAAGAGTGTGGGCCGGGCCCCACGCAGGGCAGGGACAGGGACAGGGACAGAGAGAAAACCAGGAACGCCCCGCCCTGTGCGCAGCCAGCGGGGGTTCAATTAGCAAGGCAGACACAGAGCTGCACGGTGGAAACGAAAGGAGAATGGGATAAAATGCTCCTGAAGGTATTTAGAAAGTAAAACCACCAGATAGAGCCACAGGAAGGGAAGTGGCGGCCCTGGCGGGGAGGGCCGGTGCGTGGGGAGGAGGAGCTGCCCCTCGTCTGTCCCCGTGCGGAGGGACGTCCCGGGAGGGTCAGCAGGACAAAGGCAGGCCTGGAACTGGGAAGAAGGGTTTGAGGGTGGAGAGGGGACCGGCTGGAGGAGACGGGGCCGCAGGGCGTGACAGCCGGAGACGTGGCCAGACGGCAAGGAGACGGCTGTCGTGTGGCCGGGCTGAGAGCAGCCGGGTGCCCCTGCGGCTGGCTTCTGGGGCCGGGGGAGGAGACGGAGGCTGAGGCCAGTGGGGAGGGTCCTGACCCTGGGCTGCCCTCCCGCCCACAGCAGACCCCCCGCCGGCTCACTGGGATCCGGGAGACACCAGTCCCGGCACAGCCGCTCTGGCGGCACGAGCAGCGAGCCCGGCTCGGGCCGGGCAGCCACACGCGCTCCCGGAGGAGCCGCCCCCGAGGGCCCAGGCAGGGCGAGCTGACTGAGGGGCGAAGGAAGCCAGGCAGGAACCTGGCACAGGAGGCGGCCCCGGAGCTCCGCGCCGCCCACCCTGCCACTCCGCAGGGCTCCCTGGAGGACGGACCTTCCCCTCCTCCGCCTGCCTGTGCGGCCTGGAGTCTGCGCTCCGACTCCCGGGTGCCACCGCGGGACCGCTCACCAGGCCCCGCTGCCGCCCCATTCCAACGTGCCCCGTGTCACAGGCAGGCTGGGCGCGCACTCCTGCCTCTTTCCCGCAAGCTGCGTGTGGCCAGCACCGGCAGCTGCTTCTCAGCCCCGCCCCCTTCCCCGCGCCCTCTCTTCGCCTGGGGGCCAACGGCCTCCTCCGGTCCCTTCGCTCCAGCCTCATCTCCCTCTGATACTTCTCAAAATGCAAACCCGGCTGGTCCCTTAAATTCCTTCCCCGATGCCCTCAAACCTGCTGAGCCACGTCCCACCCTCCGGCTGGTGGCCTCGCACACGGCTCCAAGGCGGGACCAGAGCACGCTTGCCCCTGACGCTATTTTCCGACGCGCTTGCACCAGGCTGCCACGGACCCCCTCGCTTCATAAACGTCAGGGTAAAAAACTCTGTGAGGTTCCCACACAGAGAGCTAAAGCAGTCTCACCACGGTGCTCTCGGCAAACCCGCTTTGAGAGATGAGGAGCGTGACGCCGACAACATCAGGGCAGCCACTCACACACGGACTGGACTCGCTGCCTCGCCCAGAGCACGCTCCAGCCACGTCTGTCTCATGCAGTAAGAGTGCAAGAGGCACCAGCAGACGTCAAAATGACCCAGAGGTGCCAATCACCCAGCAGCAAGATTTGATACGTGAGTGACAGACACTTATGTGTGTACAGTTTCATTTTGAAGCTTTCGTGGTAGCGAGGGGAGGAAAAAACGCATCTTGCGAACACAGAGGGACGTATCTGGAGGATCGTGCCTGCTGGGCCAGGGCCACCTCCTCCCCAGGGTGTGGGCTGCAGGGGTGGGCTGTGAGCTTGGCGTCTGCGACTTGTGTGAGCCCCACATGCTTGCTGGGGGCTGAGAAGCATCAAAGAAATCATCTCCTACACGTTGGGAGGAGGACCCCGTATTGGTAGGAGATATGTGTGGCAGGCCCCACCTCGATGACAGCTGGGGACACGGGCAGAGCCGTCAGCAGCAAAGACACCTCCGCTAGGCCAGGAGGACCCAGAGCTTGGCCCCAGGACACAGCTGTGGAAAGCGAGGCATAGGAGGCAGAGGTGCGACTCACTGCGTGCTAACCTGGTTTCTTTTCCATCCCTGGTCCAAAGGGGACCTCCTAAGTTTAATCAGGTCCGTGAGGTATAAGCCTCCTGACGAAAACACAACAGAGAAGAACTTTAGAAAATTTCTGTAAAGATCATCCATGAGCTCTGCAGACAATGGCTAGGTCGCCCATCCCCACAGGCCTCCCGTCTCCCGTGGGAGGGGGGCACGGAGCCAGAGCAAGCCGACTGGACCAGAGAGCCCCACGCTGGGGACTCCCGTCACCGCAGACTTGGGGCATGTGGGGCACACTGCGGGGTCTGGGAGGCACCATGCTGGGTGCCAGGGACAGGTGCTGGATGCCACAGGGACCTCACGGGCCAGCAGGGGCAGCAGCGTGAACGGTGCTGGCACAGTCCCTGGGCCGTTCCCTTGTGCCCCACAGGCCAGGAGAGGATGCCGTGAGACCCCGTGACGGGGAGCTCCCTGAGCAACAGGCTGAGGACCCTGAGACGCAGGAAGCCCTCGTGCGGGCCTGGCTGGGCGGAGCCACGCAGTAAGCAAACCTAAGCGCCTGCTGTTGCCTCGCTGGTCACGTCAAGGTGACCAGCTGTGAGGACGTAAAGGCAGCAGGCAGACCAACGTAGGGTGCCGTCGGAGACAGGACCAGGTCTAGCGCTAGCCAGGCCACCTACGCTGTCACGGTCCCATGCGGAGGAGCCAGAACTCGCCGCCCTGCCAGCTCCCCAGCCACACGGGCCGCACGAGGACCGACTGCGGCGCAGCCGGGCCGGAGACGGCACCGCGACCACGTTCCTCTGTGGTGCCTCAGCTCCGTGTCTGCCTCCTGAGATGCGCATGCCTCTCCCGACCCTGACAACAAGCCCGCCGGTCACCACAACAAACCTGCCCCAAACAAGCAAAACACTGCTCTCCTCACTGCGTAAGCGTCACCGGGCAGCTGCCACCCTCCAGGGCATGAGGCTTGGGGCCGGGCCTCACGCAGGGCGAGGTCTGCACTCAATTCCTCAGATTGTATCGGAGCCGGAACACGGGTCACCAGGGGTGTTTCCCTTTTCAGAACTCGCAGCGATAACCTCTGTTCTTGAGCAACTCACCGAGCCGTGGGTGCCCGAGCTCCTGACGAGGCTTTCCGCAATTCCCGCCGTTCCCGACCCGGAAAGGGCTTCAGCACTGCTCTTGCAAAAGAGGCGTCAACCCCCTTCTCCCCCCACTATGGCTTCTCTCGGGGAGCTGACCCTCCAGGGTGGAGCCCAGGCTGCGGGGAGACCCTCACAGAGGCACCTGCCACCTGGCCGTCTGGAGGGACCGTCCAGACCAAGAGCGGCTGCCGAGGGGTCTGCACGCGGGTCCTCTGCGGCCGTCAGCAGCCGCCGGTGCGAGGCAGGCACAGACTGGCTCTGGCCCCCATCCGATGCCCAGGAGAGAAGACTGGATCTTGTCGGGCCTTCAAGGGACTGGGCCGGCCCCTCCCGGGCAGCACAGAGGGGCCGTGAGAGCCGTGAAGGCCCGAGGAAAGCCAGTCCGGGCCCCGCGGGCAGAAGGGCCGCTCTGCGCCCTGCTCCTTTCGCCTCTCTGGCTACAGGCCCTCCTCCTAAGCACACACATCTGTCTCTACCACCCTCGAGGGTCTTCACCGTTGTCGCCGCCGGCTGCCCACACAGACACCAAGCACCCTGCACCAGTACCAGCACCCTGCACCAGCACCCTGCACCCAGTACCCTGCACCCTGCACCCTGCATCAGCACCCAGCACCCTGCACCAGCACCAGCACCCTGCACCCTGCATCAGCACCCAGCACCCTGCACTCCCCACCGCCTCCTCTCCCGTGACCGCAGCCCGCCTCTCCCACGCTGACAACTGCCCGTTATCTGACCACAGCTTCCTACTTTTCCAGCCTTCCCAGACTCCCACGGTCGGAACTGTTCTTTGACCACATTCCCACTTCCAGCCTCCTCCATCTTCCTCTCGCACTGTCAACTCTCGTCCTCCCTGGTGTCCGGCCGCC